CTGGGGGCGAATGCTATCAGCTTTAATAAACGAATACCCTTTTCAACTTTGCATCCGTAATGATTTTTAAATTAAATAAAGTCAAAACTCAAAATTTTTGATTTTAAATATAGGGTAACCAACTAAGTACCAATTTTTGGGCGCTTGTGGGGGTGCTAATCCTTCCCCACGTTTACCTGACTCCCAAAACCGATTTCTGAATTTTTGTAGTCCTTAAAACTTGGTCTTTTATAAAAATAAAATGTTTTATTAAAATCTCCCAGTTTTTATGGTGTCCCAATCGCACCTTAAATGATTGGTGGCGATTCCAGACATTTTTAAAAATTTCTTTCAAAGAAAACCCCCAAGTTGGTATCGGTCTTTCCCCGCTCAGGTGATAAATGGTGTTGACAAGCTCATATAGGTCTTCAATAGCTACAATTTTGAAAAGCTCTTTTTTTGTAAATTCAACTGTCACATGAATTGTCAACAAAATTCTATATGCAATAATAACATAAGGAAAAATATTACCTTTCAAAAATATCAAAATCTCTAGTGGCCCCATTTTCTCGGTAGGCAAGAACTCTCTTAGAAACCTCAATTCTTATTTCAATCAATAACAAATTACCCTTCATTCCTAAGAATTGACTGAAAATAAGCACAGTGAGACTTTAGACTCGCATCATCTAGTGACTGCAACTTATGAGAAGTAAATAAGAACCAATTTTTTTGTTTTTTGATATTTTTGATATTGCTCAAATCTCTTATTAAGAGAAACAATAGCTTGATCAACAATATATAAGAAATGATTAACTCTAAATGATTCTTTTGGAGATTGTGGAGTCATGGATGGGGTGTTATCAAAATTCTCATAAAAAATTCCTTCTAATTTCACACCTTTTAGGGAAAACAAGATCAATATTCATTTCAATGGCAATACCCTTAGCAACATCCAAAGCATCCTCGAAGTCAGTTTCTCTAAATAACTAAAAAAATAAATCAATTCCTTTATTATTCCATGACAACATCGATGAACATATCATTTTATTGTAAATATTGACTAACCAAATTATTCACATATAATATTTCAAACCAAATAATAATTACCACCAAAAACTCATAATCACCAACATCATTTGTGTTAAAGATTTAGCTTCACTTTGTACTTTAAAATCAATCTCACTACTTTTCACTACTTGAAGTAAAGTTTCACGTATTTATGATATTTGGTTACTTATAGCTTTAACACTCTGAACACAACTCTCCCAACGAGTTAATGATAGTGGTTAGGAGTCAAACCTTTAACAATATTCTTAAAATTTTGTAATATTTTTTTGTATAATGAGCAAATATAGTGTAAATACATTGTATTATGTCAAAAAAATCTCTAGTTTTACCACAACTATTGCCCATATCACACAAAGTTAAATTAAGAATATGACAACCACAAGGAGTGTAAAAAACTATAGGAGTTTTATCTAACATATATTTTGTACTCCTTGATGTTTTCATTTCTAATTTGACCCATTATCATACCTTTGTCCCCTAATGTCATCTACATCAACACCAAGATCCTTCAATTCAATTTGTAAAACATAAAAAAGTTCTTGACTAGTGGCATTGTTCACCTTTAAAAATCCTAAAAATGAATACTCGACAATAATAAGAATAGAAAACATATATGATTATAAGAGACATTTGTTCTTGGTGGCTCACATAAGGAATACAATCAAGTATGTCTGAAAAATACGTCGCTTGTTTTATGTTCTTAATAATTTCATACTTAATTGCAGAACCAATCGAAAATATTAATGTCATGCCCCAAAAATATGGTTTTAACCAAAATGAATAAAATGAAAATTTTGTGGAGAAAGTATAAACATGGGAAAGCTTATAGACTAAAATGGTAATTTTTAAAAATATATATTTTTTCTCGTAAATGAATAGTAACCCTCAAGAATGACGTTTTTATGTCATTCTGATTTTTAGCATGGAGTTTTTGTTAAAAGATATAAAGTGTGAAAGTTCAAGAAAAATTCGGATAATCGGGTCAAATTGAAAATTCATGAAATTTTGTTGGATGATAAAGAAAGGGTAAAAATGTATTTTCCATAATTTAAAAGACAATATTTAAATTGGACCATTGGATTTAAGTTGATTTCCATGTTAAATCTTAGTCATTGGATTAAAAAGGAAAATATTATAATTTTAAAATTTTAAAAGGGTAAAATTGTAAATTACTAACTTCATGGTTTAATTTCATCACTTAGATGATAAATTTGTTATGTGACATGATTAAAATCATTAGATTTTAAAATCATAATAATCATTTTGGATTAAAATGAATTTTAAATTCATTTAGGATATGAAATCCAAAAGGGATTAAAAAAAATGATTTCAAAAACTTTCTTGAATACCTTGCTGCTGCCTTGAGTTACAAATAAAAACATAGGTAAGTTTTGAAATTTATTTTTAAGCATTTTTAGTTGGATTAAAGATTAAGACATGAAATCTAATTTTGTTCTCCATTGAATTCTCTTTCATTTGGTATAATTTGTTCATGTTGTTTAGGCTTATAACCCTAAATTTATGAAATGTTGTATGAAAGGAATGATGAAATTTAAGGTTTCAAGGCTTGAAAATGATGATATATGTGTTGTGATATTAATTTCATGTTTCAAATGATCAAAAATACATTAGTTTTCCTTTAAAGATCAATTTGAAAAAGATGAAAGTTAAAGGCGTTGATGTTTTAAATTGATTTCTATGTTAGATATGATAAGAACATTATGTTGTATGTTTTAGCATGTTTATTCAATGTTGAAAACGAGGAAGAATGGTTGAATCCTAATAGTGACCAAAATGACACTTTAGGAAAAGTTTGAGGATTATATTCAAAGATTTAATTTGATGAAGGCTATGGTTGAAAATTTCAATACATGTTTAAATATTTGGTTTGGAACTTGAAAACTCCTTGGAAGGTGATGGATTATATTCGGCCATAAAGGTTTCATACGGAAAATTTTGTAGGAAAAAATTCAAGTAACTTATTTATGATATTGTTATCTTTCAAGGATTAATTTGAACATTTTATGATTTGTCCTTAAAGTCTAAAAGAGAAATAAAAGCTTAAGGTGAAATTGCGATTTTAAAGATGAATTTAAGTAAGTTAAGGTGGAAATGAAGGGTAAGAAACACTGTAATTACAATGTTATATTGGAATAAAAGGAATGAATATTATGAAATTTTCCTACACTATATGCACATGGGTTAGATGGATTCTAACATGTGCTTTTGATTATTTGTGTTATATGCTTGATGTATTTATAGACATCAATCAAATCCGGGATCAAACTAGCAACAAAGGAAAGGAAAAAGATCGAGCTTAAAGCTTAGTGAAACTTATATTTTGACTTATATAAAAAGTGTCAAAGTGAGTGTAATGCAACATTACATAATACATGGATATTTTACACATCATTAGAAGACTTGTGATGAGTCTACCTTGTTTATATTAACATGATACTTACATCATTAATCATATGTTTGACATGTTCTAAATATGTCAAAAGTTAATATAAAATGCATTGATCACTAATTTATTTATGGTGTTATATCATGAATGTTATTTCGGGTATGAAGTGTCCAATGTTGAATTATGTTGACATACAATGCCATGAATGAAATAAATATAGACTATATGTCCAAGTAGGTCATTGAGGGACACTGGTATAGTTGGCATGCCATAGAGTTCAATAACATGTTGCATATTTGATTTAGCTCTATAGTGTATATAAAGGACACTTACTGCATATGGTGGACATGACCTTATGTGTATTATGGTGGACACAACCTTATGTGTATTAGCACTTCGGTGCATATTTGACTCGTGTACCCAGGATTCTCATAGACTTATATTTAGGCTATGGTTTATTGGTTAATAATGGATAAACATGTAAATAAGCATACGATAATAAATGACAAGTATATTGATAAGAAATTTTACATGTGGTTTATATTATGTTAATATACGATAACATGACTGAAATACATGTAAGTGATTATAATGCATTGAGTATTGTATTTATTTATATTTATGTATTGTATTGCATTGATTATTACTATAATTGCCTCACTAAGTGTATATTTTGTGTGTGATGACTTTCACGCGTAGGTAAAAAGTAGAAATTAGAGTAAGGAGTATTCAACATCATACCTATCGAGGATATATTTTTAATTTCTAGTTGGCATGTATATAGATATCAATATTATTATGATATAAACTATACTTAAAACAATTTGTAATAGTTTACTTGATAGTAGTTTTCAAATGCAAATGAGTCAAAAGTTTTATTGATGTTATATTTTGCGAGCTAGAATGATTTTGTACCGTGATATAATGATTTAATGTTCATTTGTATTTCAAAAACTCCTTAATTAATCAGATAAATTGTTCAAATTAAGTAGCAAAGTTATCAGTAGTAAAATTCAATTGCAAACGTAATCATATTATAATATACTTTTCAAAGAAAACTGAAAACACTTTGGATACACATTGCAGTAACCAGAAAACTATGAGATTAATATGTAATTTGAAAATAACTTTAGTTCGCAATTAAATATGGAATTATCAGTATATTTAAGAAATTAACCTTAAAAATAATGAAAAATAGAATTTAATTTACACCTAAATTAAATAATTTTATTTTAGAGATTAAATTGAATAAAATTTAAATTTAAATTTAAAAATATATTAAATATAATTAATTTATTTCTACGTTACCTAAATTGTTTTTTCATAGTATAATAACTTCAAGATTTTGTCTAATGGTTAGGTGTTGGATTATTCTGCTGAATGTTTTAGTTTAACCTCCGCTGAGGCAAATTATAACAAAACAAACACATCGTTTATTTGAATCAAACATAGATTAACCTCTGCTGAGGCAAATTATACAAAAAAAAAGGAGCAGATTTCAAAACATATTAGGTTTGGGAATCTCCTGTTTTTTGTTTGTTTGTGTTTAGATCTTACTTTTATCAAAGTAAGAATTTGGAGAAGCAAATGCGAGGAACTCTGGATCACGTTCAAGAAAATTTATCTCTTTCTCGGGTAATGTAACCCATACTTCAATGGCGTTGTGTTGCCTAGCGTTTTTAATAAAGAAACCGCTGCAGAACTCTCGATTATGGCCATCAATCCCTGGAATGCCAAGCAGAGTCCCCTTTCCCCACCCAAAATCTTCATTTGCATCCAAGGTATTGATCAAGCTGCTTAAAACAAATAAATCTGCATTCCCTTTTGACACCATTTCTACAAGATGGTTGAGTTGCTCTGTCATCGTTTTAAAGCCTTGCAGAACAATCTGGGGATCATTAGGGGCACTTTTTGTTGCTTGTCTCAATAGATAACCCAACTCAGATAAGTCTATATCTTTTCCAACTGGGTTGTACATGCTATTTGTCGTCAAAAACAGGTTCCCAATTGAATAACTCGGTAAGATGGGCTTCAATCTTGGTCGAAGGTTAACTGGTTGGCATAAAATAGCTGGCTTTAGAATTCCTGAAGCTGATCGATATGCCTGGATGACATGTTTCCATATGAATGCAGTGAGTGCTAATGCTCGGGAAGGATGCTCCAAGCTTTTGCTTTTCACTTTCAACTTAAGAGTCGAAATCGCATTGGCATCAAACACGTAAGTCCTTGTCATCATACGCCTGTCGTAATTGAAGAACATGCTTTTCCAGTCGGCATTTTCCGGCATCGACTCGATCGGAGGGAAAAGCCGTGACGATGCCCCTAACAGTCCAGGATTTGGTATTTCGCCGTTCGAGCCACGACTGAAAGCTGCCCAACTGTTAAGGAAAGCAGACAGGGTAGCTCCATCAAAGATCTTGTGGAAAACACACAAACCTATTGCAATCCCACCGCAATCGAAGATGTTGACTTGAACAGCCAATTGTGGTGCTGTTGTTGAGTCTTGAATATAGCAAAAGGGTCGACAAGGAAGCAATCGGTTCATTGCCTCTAGTTTCTGAGTTGGCTCAATGAAATCAGATAGTCGACCTTTCACCTTGGTTTCAACATAAGGAACTCCCTCTTCGAAATCAGTAATAAAAAGGTTGTTCTTCACCCGACCTGCAACAGGGTAAAACTGAGTCAAAGCTTTGGAAAGCGATTGTTGTAGTTTCTCTGAGAATTGGGAACCGTCGATATTGGAATCACCAGGTTTAGCATAAAAGAGGATTACCGGAGTATACATTCCGGGAGCGAGTTGGTCAAAAAGGGAAAGGTTGAATGGTTTAAAGAGATGAAGTTTTGAAGAGGAGGGCTTAACCATATGCTTTGAAGTTATATGAACTTCCATTTCTGCAACAGTTGAAATGAAACAGTATAAAGTGAAAGCTTAAACGTGTGATGCAAAACTGGCTTTCTTCTGTTCTATTGAAGTTCAGGCTCAATGGATTTTATACTACATTTTCTACTTTTCAAAATTAGTTGGGGCTAGTTTTGCCCCATATAAAAAAACTAAATCTGTCCCTAACCATGGGGACAAGAGGAATTTAGTTGGAATAGTTTAGTGAAGTCATTAATAAATGTAATATAATATGTTCATCAGTATACAATTATTGTCCCAAATCGATCCAAAGTAGCACAATTGACTCTGGTGGGTGAGTTTTCCAGTAGAGAATTTCTACATATGCATGAACTCGAACTTGAGACTCACTTAAGTGATATCAAGTTGCTTACCACTTAAACCAACCCCGTTAATGTTTAGAATTTTTTTAAGTATTAATAATGTTTACACTCTGCAAATACAATTATTCGAACGGAAAATCTCAAAGAGTAGCAAGTTTTCCTTTTACCACAAAGATGATACCAACAAAATTAACTTACAATGAGTCTTGAAAAACAATTCTTTATAGATTTAATATAAAAATATTTCTAAAAAATAAAATTAACATGTTTATGAAAGAATATTGACATCCTTAAACATAAATTGACATCCATTATTAATTTTTAGCCACTTCAAAAATTCTATATAAAATTTCTAAATTTCACACCAAAATAATTTTTCTAACTTCATACCTTCTTGATTGGTTGTATGTATATGTTTCTTAAAGCTTTTCATTTATGATTTAATTTATCTTGATAACGGCACGAACTGAATTACCTCAATAGTTAAAATGATGATTGTTGTCTTTAAAGGTCTCGGATTTGAACACCAATATTAACAGATTTGTTTGAGCGTTCATTAAATACTATCTTATAATTATCTTTTAAAAAAATCTATCTTGATAATGATTTATAAAAGCAACTTGCTCGCACGAAAAATATTTATTTAACTGGTAGGGTGTGCTAGAGATTGAAGGATGATGAATATTTAATATTTTATGCATAAGTAAACAAAAACGATTGACTTTAGAAACATTAAACGCGTTAAATGCTTAATATTTTTTATGGATAGTATTTTTCTATTTTATTGGTAGATCTCTGACATTTTATAGCTCCTAACGTCAGGATTTTGATAGATGTAATATAATATGTTCGTTAGTATACAATTATTGTCAATCTGTCTTTCCATCATATTCGTATCTTAAAAAAATAATCCTCTCTAATATACTACTTGTGGAGACTTATTAATATAGGTAAAATAATACGTTTAGTACCTAAACTATCAATTTTGATATGTTTTAGTACATAAACTTTCAGTTTTTTCAAAATCATACTTAATATTTAGTTTTTTGTTTCTTTTTAGTACTCGTCATTAAAAACTTAACGTGTTTAGTACATTGTTTTTTAAAGAGTCATGGAATTCATTCATTCAAATGAAAATAGCATCAAGTAGTACATCATTCTTAATACATTCGGGCTCATAAAAAAAGAACCACAATTGGTTGGTCATGGACAAAGCCCTATGTGCTAACGTATGAGCCACCCTATTAGCCTTGCGGGGAATGTAGCAAATCTTGAAATTTGGATGTGCAACCAGTTCTTCATGTACCTAGTTTAGAAGCATACCGACCACCACCGAGATGTCTTCACTGTGATTGTTCAAACGATTGACCATTCTGATTGCATCTCCTTCGATTATGACTTGATCCAAGTCGTTTTCCATTGAAAATCTATCAGCTTGGATGAAGGCTAACGCTTCAGTTGTCGATGAATGCTCTATCTACGTTAATATTAACCCTTCCTACTGGTGGATGATTCTACAAAGCTTTTACAGAGGGTTGTTGGTTCGAACTGCAATGGTTTGAAGACTGTCACTAGTTTGAAGCTTGCTGCCAGCTCCCAAGTTTTACTCACAACATCACAATCAACTTGGAGATCTATGCGTTTAATACCTAAACTGTCAATTTTGATATGTATCAGTACCTAAATTTGTAGTTTTTTTCAAAATCATACTTAACGTTTGGTTTTTGTTTCCTTTTAGTACATCGCCAGTTTTTAATTTAGATGTGCAGCTAGTTTTTCATGTACCTCGTTTAGAAGCATATCGACCACCGAGATGTCTTCACTGTGATAGTTCAAACGATTGACTATTCTGATTGCATCTCCTTTGATTATGACATGATCCCAATCATTCTCTATTGCAAATCTAACAGCTTGGACGATGGTTAACGCTTCAACTGATTCAGTCATTTGAGGAGCATCTCCAAACACCATTCCGTGGTGATCCCGAGCAATAAGTCCTAGAGTTGCCTCACTTGATCTGTTGATGAATGCTCCATCTACGTTAATCTTAACCCTTCCAACCGATGGATGATTCCACAAAGCTTGGACAGAGGGTCGTCGATTCGGACTTGAATGGTTTGAAGACTCTGTCACTACTTTGAAGCTTGCTGCCAGCTCCCAAGTTTTACTCACAACATCATGATCAACTTGGAGATCTCCATCGTGGACCCATTGATTTATCCTGTTCCAAAGGTTCCAAAGCAGAAGAGCCATTCGAGCAAGACCCTTACTGTCTAACAGATTACTTGCATGTTCGAGCCATTCTTTACTGGAGTCCATTTGCAAGTTAACAATCGAGAGGTTCATGTTGGTAATGCTCAATCCCACATAGTATTGGAAACACTATTGGGAATGGGTATTTAAGGTTTGGATTCTCCACTTTCTTGTTGAGTGAAAGAGAACAAGGGGAACTCTCGTGCACCGCTGTCGCCGTTGTCCGTCCGTCTTGTCTCAGCTCGGCTCGGCTCGGCTCGTGGTCGTGGTAGTGGTAATATGTGTCTTCGACACGTCCGCGCGGATACTATCTTTTTAGAGAAAATTCTTGTGGAATTTCAAATGATAACAGCTGATTTATGAGTTGTCAGAAATTAAACAGTTTTTTCTAAGTTAAATCAAACTGTTAAGATGGATCTGGACTGATTTCCAGCTTTGTACAAAGGAGACAAGCTGTTAATATCAGGAGTTACATGATTTAATTTCAAGAGTTATAACAGCTGAATAATGATGCAATGGACCTGGACTATTTTTTAGTCAGATTCATATGGACGTTTCAGCTGTTACTATGAAGGGTTTTAATCCTGATTTTGTATGGATGATTTTAACCCTATTTCTAGCCTATAAATAAAGAGTTGGATTCAGCTTCTCAACTCACTCTCAACATTCAGAATTCACTCTCCAAATATTTTCTATAGTTGTTCTCTGTGTGCTTTCCGATCAGAAGTGCAATACCACCAGCAGTCCACTTCAGTTTCGGGTGTACGAAATTTGGAGTGACCTTGTTAACCTCGAGTACGGACCGCCCTACTGCAACAATTACACACATCGGGGCAAATTTGTTTATAAGGCAGTGGTTTTACCATGACATGGTTTACGAATATGTTTCTTTTAAATTACTGTTTATCTTTCCTATTAATGCTAATGGTATGATTTTGCAGTCCATATTTACAACAATTTAGAAACGAATTTTGTATACTGCAATTATGAAAAGACCTTTGAGTAAACTGATTCCCGATCTTTCCAAGCTCGATGCACTTGATGGAAAGAATTATAGAAGGTGGTCCCAACCATATTCTTTGAGCATCTTGATCTTGACTAAGTGTTGCTCAACCCACCACCTACCATGCCGCCAACCCTAGCTATCGGTAATGATATGGATACAATTCTGAATGAAGATGCCTTAGCAGCTGCCACCGTTACTCTCGCTATCTACGATAAATACGAGAATGATAACAAAACGGTGCGATGACATATGCTCAATCACATGTCAAATAAATTATTTGATATGTTTCTTAGAGAAAAGAGTGCCAAGAGATGCAAATGTGTGAGGTACTTCAAGCCAATATTCTCATTGAGAAGCTGCCCAAGTCCTGGTCCGACTACCGCAATTCTCTTAAGCATAAGAAGAGAGAAATTTTGCTTGAAGAGCTGGTGGGTCATATGAAGATTGAAGAATCCAATCGTTTAAAAGATAAGGTTACTAATTCTCTGAGTAATTTATCTTTTAGAGCTAACTTGGTTGAGTTTAGATTCAAGAAGATCATGAAACGAGGGAATCAAGACAAGAAGACAAAACCTCAGGAGGCTACCAACTTAAAAAAGTCAGAAAGGCCAAACCTGAAGGAATGACGCTCAAGTGCTATGTCTACGATTTACCCGACCACAAAGCTTACCAATGCCAATACCGCTCAGACCGCCAAAATAACAACAAGTCACAGATGCACGTTGTAGAAGAAGATGATGATATCATTATTGTGGTGGTCTTAGAAGTTAATCTGGTGGAAAATAGTACGGAATGGGTTGTTGACACTGGCGCTTCGAAGCATTTCTGCGCAAGGAAGGAGTTTTTCACCGAATTCGAGGATGAGAACATAGGTGAACGTGTGTACATGGGGAACTCTAGCAGTTCTGAAGTGCTAGGCAAAGGCAAGGTTTTACTCAAGCTGACTTCTGGTAAAACTCTGGCTTTAAATTATGTTTTGTATATACCTGCCTTGCGTATAAATTTGATAAGTGGTGGGCTTCTGAATAAGGCAAGCATTAAGTTAGTTTTTGAGGCAGATAAACTTGTACTTTCCTGAAATAGTTATTATGTTGGGAAAGGATTTTTAAACAATGGTTTATTTGTCAAAGAAACTCAATTTAATGAAAATAAAGCTACCACTTCTGCTTATATTGTTGAGTCCATTGATATGTGGCATGCTAGATTAGGACACGTGAATATTCATGCTTTAAAGAAATTGATGAATATGAATGTTCTTCCTAAACTAGATATGAATAGCTTTAACAAATGTGAAATTTGAATAGAAGCTAAGCATACTAGACCTCACTTTAAGACTATTTCTAATAGAAAGTCTGAGTTGTTAGAACTCATTCATATTGATCTAGCAGATTTTAGAAACACTTAAAGTAAAAGGGGAAAACACTACTACATATTTTTTTGTATATGATTATTCAAGATATACAAAAGTTTATCTCCTAAGAACTAAAGATGAAACTGAAAACTTCTTTGTTGTTTACAAGGCAGAAGTTGAAAATCAGTTAGATAAGAGAATCAAACGGGTTAGGTATGATAGAGGTGTTGAATATGAATCTAATTTCTTAAAATTTATTTGTGAAAAGAATGGAATAATTCATGAAACTTCAGCCCCTATTTTCCTCAACAAAATGGTATAGCCGAAAGGAAAAATAGAACTTTAAAAGAGATGATGAATTCCTTACTAATAAGTTCAGGGGTTATCTGATAACATATGAGGGGAAGCCATTCTATCGACAACTCATATATTGAACCGAGTTCCTCATAAGAAATTAGATTCTACCCCATATGAATTGTGGAATGTATACGCTCATAATTTACAATACATGAAAGTGTGGGGTGTCTAGCCAAAGTGGGTTTGCCAATGGATGTGCTACAAATAGTGCTGCATACAGATTCATGCTTTTACAAGATTATTCTATTTGTGAGCCAATGGATGTTATTTTCTTTGAAAATACTTTTCCTTTAAAGGAACCGAGAGTAAATATCGAAACACAAATATAATATAATCCATCCACTTCTTCTAGTAATTCTGCTAGGTCTTCTGAACAAATTGTTTTTGAGCCTAGAAGAAGTAAAAAGCAAAGAGTTGAAACCTCTTTAGGATAATACTTTATTACTTCCTTTATTTATGAGATAAATGATTTAGACTCCATTTCAAATCCTATAGCTCAAATTTTTCTGTTAGATGAGGATCCTAAAACCAATCTGCAAGAAATGGATCTTTCGGAAGAAACTGAGGCCAGATGGTTCGATTCAGTGGTACAAGACAAGGTTAGTCGTCAAAGGGTTCACTCAAAGGTTTGGCTTAGACTACTTTAGTACATACTCTCTCGTTACGCAAATCTCAATGATTTGTGCATTATTTGCGCTAGCCTCTATTCACAAGTTGCAGGTACATCAAATGGATGTTAAGACTGCTTTTTTGAATGAGGATCTAGATGAGGAGATTTACATGGAGCAGCCACTAGGTTTTGAAGCACCTGGTATGGAAGACAAAGTCTGTAGACTTAAAAAGTCACTTTATGGGGCTTAAGCAGGCTTTTAAACAGTGGTATGAGAAATTCCATAAAACTATTCTTAGTTTTGGTTTTGTTGTGAATGGTTTGGATGCTTGTGTGTATTCGAAGATGTTTGGCACTGAATGTGTCATCATAAGTTTGTATGTTGATAACATGTTGATTTTCAGTTCTAACATTGAGTCTATTAACAAAGTTAAAAAATTCTTGTCCACTAAGTTTGAGATGACAGATTTGGGAGAAGTAGATGTAATCTTAGGAGTCAAATTTACCAAAACTGAAAAGGAATTTTCTTTAAGTCAAGCACATTATATAGAGAAAGTGCTAAAGAAATTTTACAGCTTTGATGTCATCACTGTTCGAACTCCTTATGACCCTAGCATACATCTAGTTAAAAATAAAGGAAATAGTATTTCCCAAACTGAATATGCTAAATTAATCGGAAGTTTAATGTTCTTAATGAACTACACTCAGCCTGATATTGCTTATACTGTGAGTAGACTGAGTAGATATACTCATAACCCGAGTGGTGAACATTGGATTGCTCTTAAACGCTTATTGAAGTATCTTAAGGGTACTTTGTATTGGAAACTTGAGTTTGTTGGCTTTCATGCGGTACTGGAAGGATATTATAATGCCAACTGGGTTTCTGATAATGATGTGGTAAGCTCTACAAGTGGGTATATTTTTTACTTTGGGCGAAGCAACAATTATGTGGAAATCATCAAATCATACTTGTATAGCTCGTTCTAACATGGAGTCAGAGTTTATAGCTCTTGACCTAGCTGGGCAAGATACCGAGTGGCTCAGAAGCTTGTTAGCAGATATTCCGTTGTGGAGAAGACCGACTGCTTCTGTTTTCTTATTGTGTGATTCACAAGCTGCGATATGTGTGGCTAAGAACCAAGCTTACAATGGTAAAAAAAAGACATATTCATATAAAACATGAATCAGTTAGACACTTAATAAATAATGGAGTGCTCTCTTTAGAGTATGTGAAGTCGGAAAGGAACCTAGCAGATCCACTTACCAAAGGGTTAAATAGGAAACTGGTTCTAGATCGAGGGGGATAGGTTTAAAGCTTATTGGTTGAGGAATTCATGGTGGATACCCAACTTAGTTATCTAAGTTCCATGTGGTCAAACGAAACCATGGAAAGACTCGTAGTGCATATTCCTACTACCTATCCCTATGATGAATAATGTGCATGCCCAGGATGAGCTTAATTGCTCTTAATAAATTCATAGTCCAGGCTTTGGGCGGTCTTAGTGATAAAGACTTGATGAATTTACTGATTTTGGTTGAATATCTATTCTTAATAAGTTCATAATCCAGAGTGAGTAGATAGTCCTAAATGAGAAAGAAATAATGAACTTACCGACAGAAAGGTTGAGTTTGTTAAACTCTTAATAAATTCAAATCCAATAATTTGGATAGTTCTAGTGAGAATGACTTATTGAATTTACCGATTAATGAGGTTGAATATTTATTCTTAATGACTTCTTATCCCAGAGTTTGGGTGGTTCATTTATAAC